TTAGCAGCCGTCTTGAGCGTAACAGGAGGGACAGCGACGCTGGTGTAGACTGTGCCGTTGTAATGAGCCTCCTTGGTGGCGATCTTGGGCATCTCAGGCACAGGCCTGTAGATCTTGATGGGCTGAGTTTGCTGCGCAGGCACAGTAGCTGTGGTCCAAGAAGCGATCTCCGTGGTGATGGCGCCGACGACACAGTCGCGAGTACCAGGAGCACAGTGGCTGATGGTGTTGACCTGGCTTGTGTAGAGAGTCTTGATCTCATGGTTGTAAGGGACATCAGTGGGAGCAGGCTTGCTCTTCTCTGTCACAGGGCAGATCGTGGTGTAGACGGGGATAGTCTCAGTGGTAACAGATCCATAGGGGCAGTCTGCGACTTCAGGAGGACACTTGGTGACGGTGTGGACACTTGTGGTGTAGACAGTCTTGGTCTCGTATTGAGAGGGCACAGCGTAGTTGGTAGGCTTGGCCTTACCAGTAACGGGGCAGACAGTGGTGTACAGAGGGATGGTCTCGGTGACCACGTAACCATCCGCCGCAGTGTGGAGTCGGGTTGTACAGACGGTGCTGGTGGTCATGCTGACAGCATAGGTGTTGTCAGGGTACTTGGTGTAAACAGGCGATCCCTTGGTAATAGTTGCAGTGCCAGAGGGGATAAGCGTCGTAGGGTTGCCATACTTCTGAGTATAAGAGGGAGCACCGTAGGTGGTGTTCCAGCCCTTGAAGGTGCTGAAAGTTGTTTCAGCGGTGGCAGACTCAGTTTCCTGAGCAGAATCCGTGGTCTTGGCAGTTCCGGTGATTGTGTTACTCTCGAGAGTGGCATCAGTGGCCGAGGTGGCGGCATCATCAGTGATGGCAGACGAGTCACTAGTAGCTGTGGCATCGACTGTGGCAGATGCAGTATCGGTACTTAAGACACTGCCAGTTGCGGAGGTGTCAGTGGTGTCAGCTGAAGAATCAGTGGCTGTGGCAGATGTTTCAGAAGTTGTAGTGTCAGTCACAGAACCAGAAACATTTGTGGCAGAGCTATCGGTTGTCTCGGTTGCTGAAGAAGCATCAGAGGTAGTCCGTGTTGATGTGACATCAGTAGCTGCGGAGGTATCAGAGCTAGCCGTTGAATCCACAGTGGAAGAAACACCAGAGGCCGTAGTAGTATCAGCAGTCGTCAACCCACTAGTTGTGGCAGTTTCCGTGGAAGAAGCATCAGTTGAAGAAACACCAGTTGAAGAAACATCAGAAGTGGTTGTTACACCAGTAGTAGTAGAGACGTCGGCAGTAGTTGTGTCAGCTGTTGTAGTAGATTCGGCAGTGGAAGTAGCCTCAGAGGTGGTAGTCAAGGCAGTAGTGGTTGTAACAGGAACAGGGTCACAACCATACTTCAGGGCATCCATGACATGCTCATTATAGTTCTTGCCGTCAATCTCGTTACCAGCACCACGAGTCAAGTCCCAGAGCGAGATACCAGCGAAGTGAGTCTTGTCCTTGAGAGCACAGACGAGATCCTTCATGGCTTCCGGCTCGAGATAACCTCCGCCTGGAGCAGCAGCCTCGCTAGCAGGCAGACCAACATAGAGCTTGGCGTTCTGACTGCATGCACTGTCTTCAACGATTCCCTCCCAGTCATCGTAATTGAATCTGTCCCATGAAACGGAGGGGTCGGGGATAGCATCACAACTAGGGTTATTGTAGAACTGAATGAAGAGGGCGTCGAACTTGGCCTGGTTGATCATGTCTTTCATGTAGAAGTATTGGTCACTGGTGGGGCACTGGGGTGCGCCTGTAATGATAACATCGTTGTTCAGTCGGCGAAGCTCGTTGATCATGGCGATATAAGGGCCGTTGGCTGATGGTTGTTAGCTGGTGCTCAAGTCTTTGAGATGTAGGTCCTCACGTACGGAGGTCATGCTCGATATCAAAGTCGAAACCATCGACAGCAGGACGGGTTGTGCCATCGTCACTGTCGAAAGGGCGAGGACCATCCCAGCTTTGATCGTAAGGACCGAATGCCTTGTACAGGAAGTCGGCGAAATCAACGCCCTTGTCATCAGTGGTCACCTTGTAGTTACTTCCAGCTTCGTTGTAGACTCCACCAATGCTCAGAAGAACCTTGACTCCGCGCTCCTGGCAGTATGGAATGCCCTCCTTGATAGTGTAGCATTCACTGAGAAGTGATGAGGCAACTCCATCTTTGTTACTGTAGATACCAGCCGCACAGTGTCCGGCAAAGTTGGTACCAGGATAGCCTGACTCTGTATGTTCGGGAGCCTGGTTCACAAAAGACAGAGTAACGTACTCTGGGGCGGAATCACAGTAAGACTTGAGTGAATCGGATCCAAGTTGACCCTACAGAAGTTGGTCAGTTGGTTATTTCCAAGACTGTAAGTTACACAAACCCAGTATCCATTGAGTCCCAAGGAGAGACCAGAACTACCCGGAAAAGAGACAGAAGACATTGTCACGAGATGGGTGACTGAAAGGCTGTAAAGGACTGTAATGTGGCCGAGGCCGTAAAAGAATGTGTGATGATATGATTATCAAAGAAAGGACGCAAACCAAAGTTTGCAATAAGGCCTAGGACCGAGCCGTCTTGGACTTACTGTCAACAGAGTTGATGGGAAAGGCAGAGAGGAACCTCGGGGAAGAGAGGGAAAGCCATCTATTATGGAAGGGAACTACCACTCGGAAATTTCTGCCCTAGACGCATCTCATGACGGCCAGAGCCATCTCAGCTGTTGGTTTCCAGCCATTTGAACCGGTGGTTGCTTATCTAGGACATAGTAAGGAGTCTTTTTGCTAGAGGAGGACCATTTAGACGTAGACCCCAGGGTTGTCGATGGGGTACGGCGAAATCGGCCACATCGTGCAAAGTAATCTCCGCCTTGGAACAGCAGAAGAAGGCTCTTTCTGTAGACACTTGCAGTTCGGACACCTGAAGGAGGCTATCGATTTCAGGAACAGGCTAAGCGTTGGTCGAGAGTGGACTTGGGTGCCTGAGGGACTATCGAAAATGGGCGTCTGAGCCGCGTAGCCGATGCGCCAAGGTGAGAATGGGGACGGTGATAAGGTAGACTCAGCCGCTAAGCTGCGTTTATGGTGTCATTATACCACACTATGGTTGATATGGGAAATGGTTCAGAGAGGAATTATGGAAATTGAATCTTGGCAGACCAATGATTCCCATCTAAGGCTGACGATATATGGAGATGGTTGATGTCCGTTTGGAGACGGCACCAACATTAAGGTGTCTGGTCACTACGGCGAAGGTGTTAGTAAGTCTTAGGGGTAGTGTGATGGGGATGGGGAACTGACTCGGTTCGATTACCTCCGAGTATGCATGTTTAGAGTGTCGTTGCAGTTGATAATCCGTTCGAGGGGCCTAACACAGTGTCCATGGAAGCGAGTCCGCAGGGATAGGCTCTGGCGACAAGAAGATTTTCACGTGTATCGCTCTGTCTCTGTCTCCGTGTGGAGAAATTCGAGTAATTACAACTGATTTTTACTGCAAAATATCTCAGTGTGATGTGATGGAAAGAAACTGAGAGGGGCTGTCACTCGATGTTGGTATCTACCCCTGTTACACGTGGAGTCGTGGGAGACTAAGCGATAGAGCTAGTGGTTCCTGCATCTGAATCGACCAATAGCGTGTTGTGCTCGCTCTGATCAACACGCTGTAGGGCTAAACTTTTAGCGCAGCTACTCGCATCGTCACCGCTCCTGATTACCACTTTGAGCCAACCCCTGATGCCTCCGGAGGTTTTGGCCAGTAGTTTAATCCCAGAGGTGACGGCTTGTGCCCTAGAGACTTGGCAGTGGTGAAGCGTGCGAACCCCTGATGATGATGAGAAGGGCAAAGGGTTCGGGCTTGACATCTACCTAGAAACTGCCGATCCGGGGCGAGTCCCTGCCTTTGATCGACATTTTTCGCTTTCTTCCGAGTGGCATTGGTCTGTCAATGACATCAAATGCTGTCACTGTGTACTTATCATCAGATTCATAGGTAGCTTTAGATAAAAACCGTTGTTGAATAGAGTGGCTGACTCAATGGCTGTGAAAAGGAGTCGAATAATCTTCTGAAGCGTCGTCAGCTTAACCTTGAGTGTGGCTTTCTCTTCTCTTTCTTTTTGATGAGCCTAGAACCTACGGAGTATACCTAGTCTCATCTTTCAACCACACGCTAACCGTCTTGTCAGTTAGTCCAATACTTTCTAATATTCCAGGCTTTTCAGCTTGACCGGTTTTCAGAAAAAGCACGTTCATGGTGTTTATTGATATTGCTTATAATTGATGCAATGCCCCTGAGAGATGGTCACTTACCAAAGCTCATCCATCTTACACAACTTGCTCGCTGGGCCATCTCTCACCAAATTACCGCGTGTTGCTTGGCAGTCGGCATAGAATCTCCAGCTGCCAAGGCCGTCCCTTGCACCATCTGGAGGCCTACTTTTGCCAATCACCGTTTGATATTGGGATTTCTTTGTTTTTGGCCCCAGGGTATTACACAGCATGGCTTTCAACTCTTTGCCAGAACACATCTCGCTGGTCATACTGAATTCACCTCATCATTACCTTTTGGCTGCATGCTCTTGCGTTTACGTCGAGTCATCTGTTATGTACCATCCTCGAAATGTCCGAGGATGGTCCATAAATGCATGGGCCAGCAAATGTCACTCTCGGTGCTTTGTTGGATAAATGGATTAACCTACCACTCAACAGGGCATAAGACGGATTTGATCCGCTCCCCACTGCTTTATCGCTAATAGGTAAGGATGATTTTAGTATAGTCCGCCAACAACAAAAATCCTCTCTGAAGCTTACAATCCACTTGTTGGAGACCTTGCAAGGACAACTTCAATATGGAACGGGGGTTTTTTTTTTCAACTTTGTAAGAAATCAATTTTACTTATTCGCGCTAAATACATCTAGAGACTTCTATTGGTCGTATTGCTACCATTTTTTCTGTTACAGATAACTTCCCGGGCTTGGGCAGAGTTGTGAACCTGTACTTAAGCAGTATCAAGAACGACAACCTCGGCCTCGACCTCACCAATGCTCTCAACGGCGAGCTTATCACCGGCATTGACACCATCAATGAAGGCACCATCACCCTCTTGAATCTCGGAATCCTCCCGGCCATCCAGACGGATCTTGGCCTTTCCTCCCTTGGTCATGGGCACATGCACATAGACCTTTCTCTTTGTTTGCTCAGTAGCGCCTCCACCAACGGTCCACTCAAACTTCTTGCTTGGCTCGATGATACCGGCCGCCATGACAAAGTCGGCGTGGATGGGGATTGTGTCGGGGATGACAGGCTCAGCGTCCTTCTCCTGTTGGACTGTAGCTTCCTCGCCTCCCTTGAGAGGGCTCAGGATCTTGACAAAATCTTGTCTCTTGGACTCATCGCTGAAGTGGCGGGTGTGGTATCGGGGAGCAAGACCACGCTTCCAGGGGATGGCCCAGATCTGAAGAAAGTGAACAGTGTCTGACTTGTGTTCGTTGAATTCGGAGTGGGCAATGCCAGTTCCACCAGTGGTGAACTGGACATCTCCACGATGCATGCGGTAGAACTTGTCAGACTGTCCTCCCTCCTTGCCCTTGGTGAGCATTGAGTCTCGGTGTGTGAGCTCTCCTGATAGGATGTAGCTGAAGATCTCAAAGTCCCGGTGAGGGTGAGTTGGGAAACCCGAATTGGCCTTTACTCGGTCCTCGTTGAGGACTCGGAGAGAGCCAAAGTGACTGAACCTCGGGTCATACCAGTCGGCGAAGGAAAAACTATGGTAGGTGTTCAACCAGCCATGATCACTGTGACCTCGGCTGCTGGAGCGATGAGGAGTGATCTTTGCGTGACGGAGAGACTTGGACATGTTCTTTGCGGCGTTCATTTGACTCTGAGTAGTTGAAGTAATTACTGTGGTTTTGTTTGTGAAAATGTTTGGTGTAAGCTGTTGAATGTGAGTGAAGTAGTTGCTTGGATAGATGATGATGATGAGGATGGAAATTGCAGCGAAGAAAATCGCAATCAAGGGACTGACGCGAAACATATATAGACGAAGTCACCGAATTCACGAGAAAGTGCCTGCATGAGAATAGATTCGATTGATGATGATTGAAAAACGCTGACAAGATATAGCTAAGTATGTTTTGCTATGTAATTGACTTTGTAATGATTGCTCAGCGATTTGGTTCGCTGCTACGCAATAATGTGGGGTAAATAAAAAGAATTTGGTGATTATCTCAGGCTTACATAGACACTACTAATCTCACGTGACGTGACATCCATCGTTTTCGCCAATCGAGGTGAGCTTTGGGCACACGCTACCACGAAGTCACCCTCCAATGATTACTTGTAAGCTAGCATTTGATGGAAGCTCAATTGGGGGGGAGGGGAGGCAGTTGAGTACAGTTCGACTAAGTTCTCGAATGAAACCCAATTAAACCTCGAACTAGGAATACGATATGCGACCTTTTTCTTATTAGAAAGCCCAGATGAAAGACATAAGACTAAGAGCTAATTGGTCTAAATCCTTGGTTGCTGATTCTGCCCCTCGCCAACCACCACAATCGATTTACGAAGTACAGCATTCATCCCTTCGGCATTATAACAAGCAACATTTTTGTAACTCGGTCGCCAATTGGCAGCCGTTCCAAGAATCTGGATACCGGTTCTTCCAGCTCCCTAACAGGTTCGGTAAGGGTATCCGATTTGCTGCTCCATGAGGAGTGCTTCTCCCTTGTTGATTTGGTCACCATGACGCAGAGTACAAACATCCAAGGATCAGCCCTTTTAATACCAGCCTCTTAGAGGGCAAGATAGACATATTAAGGATGAAAAAGAAAAAAGAAAAAGAAAAAAAAGGAGTGATCCCAGTCTTTTAATTAATCCTGGTTTGTCAATGTTGCATGTGCCTTGCATGAAGAGGCAGGAAATGCGGCTCATGCCCTTGAAGTGGATTGAAGGTGGTGGAGTTTGAGCTTCAGCTGTGTAAGCCAAGAGGTCAGCTTGCTCTTGTGTCATTGAAGCGTTTGAAATTAGCGACATTTTTTATGTTGACTCACTTTGGGTTATCCTATTCATGCAGTCAAGGTCCTTAATTACCTTCATCTCAAGTCACCAAGCATAGGTAACCAACGTTGAGCACTGTTTGTGTTACACGCATCTCCTCTAATTATAGGATCTCACCACCACCAAAGAATAAAGTTAGATGAGGCCAAACTCAAGACACAATACACCTGAAACGATTGATCTGAGTGTAAGGATCAAGAGGCGGGTACTCTAAATTCTAGCACAAGCTGGGTTAGATGTCAAGCTGATTGTTCCAGATAACTTTTGAGGTGGTTGGTCATGTCTCAGGCCCCTCCCGGTCCCTGTCCATCGTGATAGGCGGCACAAACATCATCGATTCTTTCAGACAATTAAATGTGGATATTCAATAGTCCAAGTCAATTGAAACACATTGAGAATAGGTAGCTCGTGTTCATTCATGACTGTTGACAACGTTCATTTGTAGACTTCACATGCAACCCATTTAACTCAATTTGGGGATGGACCATCTCACACCGTCATATTTACCTAGCAAGTTCCCGACGGGCCGCGTGAGCTATACCTCTATAGGCTTAGCTGCACCTCGTTCAGTGCGTTGTCCAACGAAAAGCGCTGTGACAACACAGCAGCTCAGCTGCATTATCGCCTGAGGTGAGAGCAGGAGTGCCAATTCTTGTGTGCCCAACATAATCCCCCCCTCTCTCTTCTCGAGTACAAAAGCACAGATGATTCTCAAATCAAGTCCTTTCCACCATTTTCCTCAAGTCTGTGTGTATCTGACTTTTTTTTATCCTTTTCTTTTGGTAAGTATGACCCCTCCCTCACTCGATCCCTGTCTCAGACACACCCAATCCTTGTTTGGTGGAGCAAAAGAGGCTGGGAATGGCATCGTCTACTCGTCTAGTCTAGTATTACCAACCTCTCCAAGGAACCCAACCTCGCGCAAAGAATCCTCATAGTCCAACCATATCTCATTCTTCTCTCTTAGCTTGCAGCATGCACTTGCTGTCCTTCTTCTCGCATCTTGTTTTGTGATATCAATTGGTCAAAACGAGCTTGTGTGTTGTATGTGAGTGTGTGGAGTGGGAAGAAGTCGGTCTGCATTCCAAGTTTTACACCCTCTCTTCTCTTCTCTTCTCTTGCTCTTGATCGCGCCCAGAAAAAAGAACCAGAACAAGAATGAACTTCCAAAACCTCAACTTCGACTTTGTGGAAGCACCTCGTACGTGACACTATCACACCCTCTTTTACAGATACACATACACTACTCCGTACTATACACCTACATTCACTACACTTACATACATCTACACCAACACCACCCACCCACACATACACGCACTTGGCACTTAACTGGCTTCGTCTATCGGTGTCGCTGACGGGTCTACCATCACAGGTCAAGGTCCTCCAAAGAGGCAGACTCCTGGTCAACAGTCAATTGACGACGACGATCAATCATCTCAGCCAATTCTTCACCCATATTATGATCTTAGACAGCGTGTAGGGCGAAACTCCACCAATCCCTCAGCATCACCGCCTGGTGCTCTATTCTTTGCTCCGTCACCTCCTTCTCTGCCTCCATCAAAGGTCACGGCCTCGACAGCTGAGATCTACGGCCCTGAACGATTGTTCGGTTCTGATCTTCCTGGAGGGTTTGCGGCGCCTACACCACCAACGCAGACGCATCACACTGCACCACCCGTTGCTCCTCCAGCTGCTCCAACTGCACCTACAGCTCCTACACCTGGGTCTGTTCGATTCGACGAGGCTCAATTGGCCATGTTTGCCGCTGAGAACGCAGCTCGCATGGCGAGTATCAAGGACGAGTTGACAATAGCTGCTGGCAAGGTCACTCCCGGCGTTGACGATACACCATATATCCAGTACGCTCTCGAGGCTCTCACGAGGAATCACGGCGGTCCTTCTGCTGCACATTTCCCCTCTGGATCTTCCAATGACTATGAGGAGGATTACCCACAACCAAGACGGTACGCCGATGAGGACATGGCGAGGGGATACCCTCAATTGACACAACCGGAGCCCGCTTACGTTGAAGATCGTTTACCAGAACCGATCGAGACTCAAGCTCCTCGCTACGAGATGCCCGATACCTCCGTGCACCCTGCGCCAAATGCTCGTCATCACAACGAGCCCGTTGCTCATCACGATGTACCAGCCGTTCCTCGGTCACCAACTCCTTCAGATCACTCTAAGCCTGACCAGTTCGCTCAGAGGGAAAAGGCTCGCCCTCGATCCATCCCCATTGACCGAGCGCATCCTCCTCTCGTCTTCAAGCCTGCCATTCTTCGACCAGTCTTTATGTGCATCTTTGCCTTGTTGTGTTTACTCATGATAGCCGCTCTCATCTTCTGCGCTGTCTACTCGCAAAAGGACGGTGGTTTCACTCCATATCCTGGAAGTATCTACAGCGGTCAATACTTTTTGTTCAGAATCTTGCCTCAAATCTTCGCAGGAATTATCTTAATCTACGCCCAATCCATCGTCACTGCTTCCATGCGAACTATACCATTCACCGCCATGGCTGATGCTGAGCCCCGAGAACGATATCTCGCACTCTTCCGACGATTGCGTCCTCTGACATTTCTCATCCCCTCCTTCACAGGACCCTGGCAATTCCAGTTCTTCAGCATGTGTACATGGCTCGCTAATTTCACGATCCCTCTAATGAGCACAGCCTTCACATGCATCTTCAAGGACCAGGGTTGGGTATGGGCTGCAGTTCAGGGTATTGCTTGGACACTTGTCGCACTCTACATCTTGTTGTTGGCAGCCACCATCGCTTTGATGATGTTCTGGCGCAACCGATGGACGGGACTCTTGTGGGATATTCGATCTATGGGACATCTTCTTCCCTTGTTAAGTCAGAGCAACACCACCAGCAGCTACAACACCCAGGATGTTATTCAGAGCCGCGCTGTGGTACAGGACCAACTTCGCCAGCGCGCGCTGGACCGACTTGGATACTGGCAGATGGATGGTCAGCAAGGTGGCGTGTGGTACGGCATCGGCTCCGTTGGTGACGGTGGTCACCCTGATTACAGAACATACGACCTCGTCCTCAAGAAGCCCGGAATCTCGCCAGTGTCTTCTCTCGATGACCTTGAGGCTGAAGTTCGCCATCACAGATACACGCCTATCGCCTTGCGAACTTCCGTGATTCTGGGCTCAGTCATCTTCATGACCCTCTTGATCCTCGCAATTGTTATTGTCTCCTTCTTGCCTCAGACTCGACTGGACCAGGGATACTTCCCTCAGGTCCCTGCCCGACCTGGGAGCGGAGCTTTCTCTGCGGCCAACTTCCTCTACGCCTTTATCCCCTCTCTACTGGGGATGATCATGTTCTTGCTCTTCCAAAGCCTCGACAACGCTCTCCGCATCCACCAGCCTTGGGCAGGTATGTCCAAGTCTTCTGGTGAGATTGCGTCCAAGACCATCCTCGCCGATTACGCTGCTTGCTACCCCTTCCAGTGTACATGGAAAGCTCTCCGTAACGGCCACTGGCGTGTTGCTGTGATCTCTTTCATGGCCACAATCTTCATCTTCATCCCCATCCTCGCCGGTGGGCTCTTCATGGCCCTGACCAACTTCCGTGGCCAGGTCAAAATGTTCCCCAACATGCCCGTCTTTGGAGTTCTCCTTGCCTTCCTCTTCCTCTACCTCGGCTGCCTCTCTCTAATGCTGCCCGGTCGCCGGGCCCTCCGCATCCCTCATTCTGCCGACAATGTTGCTGAGATCATTTCTCTCACCGCGACTCGGGAGACTCTTTCAGACCCTGCTTTCTTAGCCGTCAGGGACACCGCTGACCTCAAGGCCCGCCTG